GTAAATCCTTTTATAAACATATATAACTTTCCGCATAACCGATTTCACCTTTTAGTTTAACTAAAAAAAAATTAACATCCGATTATTTCCATTTAGTAGTGTTTTTTATTGCCTTTTGGGTTTTATGACATTTTAATGGTATTATTATAAGATTATAGAGGACAATATTTCCAAGAAAAAATAAGTCTGCTCCTAATTATTTGTAGGTATGTGAAATAAAAATGTATCCTTATCGCACGGTTAACATTTTTATCTTTTGTTTTTATTAAGTTCTGAAATCAACCGCGCGTTGATTAGGGTTTGACAGTATTTATGGGTTAAGTCCATTATGCAATTAAAAAGTTAACCAAATACTTGCATATGTATTGAATATTCTCGTACATTATTATATTTTGTAATATTATTTTAATTGTCAGTTGCTGATTTAGATCATTGTACATTGGGTTCGGTTAGTTTCGATTCGGACAATTAACGTATTTGTAACACAAGCGAAATTCTAAAAAGGTATTCAATCAAACTGCAAATACGATCAAATAATAAGTCAAGGGAAAATTAAATACATAGGCTCAAAATTATTAAACATATTAAATATTACATACTCATTTTGATTGCATTGGTTTATAATACAAAACTTTAATTTTGATCGGGAAAGTGAATTGACACTAACAGTAGTTCATGCGGGCGAGTTGCGACGGTAGGCAACTCCTTGCACACAAAATCTTATATCTACATAATATAAATTATTGTACATTATAAAATGTAGTTGGGAGTAGGTTTCGGTTAAAATTCTTATGAAATTTACCACTATTTATTAAACACAGGATTAAAAAAGCCTTCAAAGTTGTCTGTAAACTTGTCATTTTCCTAATTCACTTTGTTATTTTTTTTTTTGTAATATTTAGAATTTTTATTTTACACTTGATTGGTAATATTTGCGACGTAATGTCGGCATACTATGGTGCTGCTTATAAACTAGCTTTTTGTTTTAAGTTATTATAAAATTGCAATAGTTTGTTTGATTTCGCATTAATAACTAATTTATGTGTGGTTTGCTTTTGAACTTTGCGCATCAAAGTTTTCGCATTCGGACGTTTCGTTATGCTTCGTTATAATTTCGTTATCATAACAGAAACACACACACATTCCACACTGTCTACTCAAGATTAACGCATTGGTGTACTCGCATTAATTTAAGTTGTTAAAAGTTTTTCAAAAGCGTTGTTGATTGGGCATCATATTTTGACGAGGGCCATTGCTGTATGTGAGAGAAATTATAAAATATATTTTAAAAAGATTTGATAATGCATCGAAGCAAATTAAGTACATATTAAACCTAGGGTACGCATTAATTCTTTTATAAACACATTTAAATGTAAACTGGGGCCGCAATCTGTTTCTGTACGATTTTACTTAAGTTCCAATTCCCCAAAATCACTACACGTTTCCACGACAGGTTGGGCTCCGTAAGCGGATCCCCCAGAGTATTACGCGCCTAGAGTTTCACTCCATCAGTTACCACAAATACTATTTGTTAATTTTCTGCTGTTACAACAACAACCACCACTAACGTCAAGTTGGTGCTTTCCCTACATCAATAGTCTACAAAACCATTAGTTATTAAAGGAGCTAAAAATTAAAAGCTGTTAACGACCGCACGTTTTTCAGTGCAACGACTGTCGGGTTTACATAACCGGATTAACACAGATTTACATCTGGCCATGGCCAAACCTGTTTATGGAATTTATGCTGTTACCAAAATCGCTACTTTGATTTGACATTTTGGGCTTAAATAATCAATTCTGCGGCTTAGTTGCAAATAAATTAACAACGTATTTGTCAATGTTATTGTGGCTTATTAACATTTAATTTTTTTATTGAGCTTTTTCAATTTTTCCTAATAAACAATCGTAGTGCAAAGCTCAAAAAAAAATATAAAAATATAAAAAAATTACAAACAATTTAACTAATAAAACGCCATCAGATTCTAACATTAAACTTACCGCTGCATTCCGCCACCTCGGCCACCACGTCCACCGGCCCCACCTCCGCGACCTCCGCCACGGCCACCACCACCTTGTGTTCCAAGAGGTGGGAAATTACTGTTGTAATTGGTTGGCGCAGAAAAACCTTCATTACCGCTTCCACCCATGCCCCCACCACCACCACCACCACGTCTAAATCCGCCGCGACCTCCTGCATTTGGTGGTCCACCAGGGCGATTGTTGCCAAAGCCGCCTTGAAATCCGCCCTGCGCCGGCATATTATTTCCAGGTCTACTCAAAATCAGAAAGTTTTAAATTTATACATAGCTGTTTTCCAGGCACCCTAAAAGTTCGATACTAACATATTTGGGCCGTTGTTGTTCCTCCTACTGAAGAGGCTTTCAATGTTGTTTTGTGGAACGCCATTGTTTTGCATTCCCCCTCCGCCAAAGGCGCCACCAGGGTTTCCACCGCCAAATCTTTGTCCACCACCGCGTCC